CTCTAACCTTCGACAACCTGATGTAAAAATAAACTCTAAGAACATTTTTCTCACTTCTTCCCAGATTTATTGTCCAATATTCATTCATTACTTTTTCTTTAATTAGAATATGATAATATATATTACATGATAAACAATACACTGTTACAGATTCTAGGTTTCTTCTCCTAGAAAATAACTTTATTTTTTCTTTGTCTTCCAGAAGGAGTCACTATATCCTGTTTATAGAACACTTTGCCCAACCCATCTTTAAAAAATGTATGTAGACCCATCTTTTAAAAAATGTACACTAATGAGGGGCACCTGGGTGGCTCAGATGGCTAAGCGTCTGCCTTCAGCTCAGGTCATGATCCCAGGGTTCTAGGATAGAGCCCCACGTCTGGCTCCTGGCTCGGCTGGGAGCCTGCTTCTCCCTTTCCCTCTGCCTCTCCCCTGCTCATGCTCTCTCTCTCTGTATCTCTCTGTCTCAAATGAATAAATAAAATCTTTAAAAAAATTAAAATGTACACTAATGAGATAAGTTTATAAACACATTAAAATTCACTGTATATTTTGGACAATGAAAGCAATCAGATCTTGAGCAGCATAGTTGGCTGGCTTTTGTACAGTAATTGTATCCAGTGTTTCATGCTGAACTTTTTTTTCTTTAATATGGTCGAAACCATGCCTCCTTAGGTTTAGAAATCTAAATGTTATTACTTGTTAGCCAGTTTTCATTCCCCACAGTGGGGCTATGCTCTTGCTTGTGGGTCTCTCTCCACAGGGTATAGCCTGCTGTTCTCAGACTGAGAACATTTGCAAAGCAAAAGAAGAAATTGGGATTAGGTAGCGACATGCTCTCATTTTTATGCATGGTTTAGCCTGTAACCTTGGTGTTCATTTTTTGCTGTGCACCTGGCCGGGCTTCTATATGCTTCTAGAGCTCTTTGTAGTCTTCACAAAAGCACGATACAAACATGACACACACTGTGGTTATTGCTTCTCACACTGAAGTTATGGGTGGATGGGTCAGACCATGTGTCCTTCTATAATTGTACATTTAGGACACTGTTGTGGCTGGAGGGGGGATGCAACAATGCTGAAATATTTTAACAGTAACCTTTCATTTTCTAATAAAGATGAAATTCCAAAAGTCTAAAATAACTGTCACTACAAAGAAAAATTAAAGAATATCTTTTCTTCCTAAAGGATCACCTTAGCTATCCCACCAGCAAGTGAAGACATTGACTTTATATTTGTTCATTTGTCTACTTACTAATCGTGTGTTTTTGCAATGAGATGGTAAGCTCCATGAGGACAGGGACTGTGTCTGATTTTTTACTGCACATTTCACTTACTGCTTAGCACAGTGCCTTGCTATTACCTTGTAATCTCTAAATAAGTATTTGTTAAAATAATGAATAAGTAACATATGACGTGTTACTGTTCTCAATAATGGTAAAATCTAGTTAAACAGAACAGAATGTCTACTGAAAAAAATTTTTTTTAAAGGTTTTATTTATTTATCTGAGAGAGAGAATGGGAGACAGAGAGCATGAGAGGGGGAGGGTCGAGGGAGAAGCAGACTCCC